TCCCAGAGAACCCTGGAAATCCAGGCCAGAGAGAGAGAGAGGGCCTCCTGCAGGGCAGGGTCAACCCTGGTCAACCCTCTTCTGGGGATTGCCCAAAGCGAGGGTGCCATCTGCAAATAACCTGGAAGAGGCAGGGATGGGGGTTGGGGGTGGGCAGTGAGCCCTGGGGTTCAGGCAGGTGGAGGCTATAGTCCTGTCTGGAGACGTGGGAGGATGTGGGTTTGGCTTCTTTCAGGGGTGGCTTTTAGGGTCTCTAGAGGAGTTTCCATGAGGCTGGGTAGCCCCAGGTCAGAATGCTTTGGATGGATACCGGGTTGGAACGGAGACCTGGACACGAGAGCAGCTGGGTAAGAAGCTGCAGGAGGGCCCACTCCCAAAGGTGCGGGAGTGGGGGACGACAGAACACCGCTTCCCTAGCAACATGAAATGTCTCAGCCCCAGCCCACATACCCCAACTTCCCTCTTATCGGATAGTCTCCCAAATGCCGTCCCACGAGGCATCCTCTGCCCCAGCCCACCTCCACCTCCCCAGGATGGGGTTGCCATGCAGGTTTCACCTGGATCCTCACAGAGGCCAGGAGGACAGAAGGGAAGAGTTCCAGCTCAGGGGAAGGCTGGGCCAAGCCAGAAACGAACAGGTCTCTGAGACAGCACTAGGCCCCCCGCCTCCTGGAAGACTGTCTGCTCTACCAGCATCTTCTCCCTCCTCCTCCCATTCAGCCCTCTCCTGCCTTTCTAGGACAGAAGACCTACACTGCCTGGGACGGTTCTCATTTTGGTGTTGCCCTGATTGATTTTCCCTGAAAACCATTATGAGTTCTGGAAGCATCACTGCCTCAAGGGCCCAAGTGCCATCGCTGAAACAGCTTCTCACCTGAGTGGCATCAGCTCCTTGATCATGAGTCTTGGTGGGAGTTTAGGAAAGATGGACTCAGGTCCCGCACCTGGCTGAGTTGCAAACTCAACTACTGGAGCTCAGCCTGTAAGTGCCCAAGAGCCGGGGGCTGAGATCCCAGCTGGAATGGATTCCGCTCCCAGCAGAGAGCTCCCTTGCCCACTGTCCAGGTATTTCCTCCAGTGTTGGACCGGTACAGTCTCTTAGATGGACACGGGCTCCTGAGCTGGGGGTAGAGGGATGCACTTCTTTCACTTGTGGGAGGGAACTTGCAGCAACCCCCAGCTCTGCATCATTGGAGAAGTTTATTTCAGTCCTGCCATGGCTCCCAGTAAAAGGTGGGACTCCTTAACTGGTGGTGGACTGTGGAACGCAGCAGGAAGGAAGGCCTGGACTGGGCCTGGGGCTGAAGGGTCAGAGAGGATCCCTTGGGGCATCTCTGTCCAGTAACCTGCTTTAGGGAACCCATGACTATTCCCTCAGGGCTTTGGAAGGGAAGCGGCTCCTGAGACGTCTCTGGTCAAGGCGGTGTGAAAAAATGGATGGAAATTGGGGAGGGCGTGGTTAACAGGGAGAGAGGGTGGGAGGCACAGCAACTACCGGCCAGGTTTAACCTCCAAGAGACAGAGGCTCAGAGAAATGAACTGACTTGTGCAGGTCGCCAAGCTAGCGAGTGGGGTTGCCGAGATGGGGGCCCCCCACCGTCTGACCCCAAGGTCAAGGCTCTTTGGGGATAGGAGCAGATGTGGACGGAACAGGTGACCATTCCTTCTACGTCCCGAGGCCTGGTTTGGGTCACCTTCTGCCGTCCTCCCCAGGCTGGCGAACTCTGCTGGCGAACTCCACTGGCGATCAGACGGCGGCACATAGACAATGGCGCTCTGTCCCGGGCGGGCGCTCCCTGACGACAGCTCATCCCTATGCAGTGACCGCCTCCCCAGGCCCGGCCGCCAGCCCCTTTCAGGCGGTGGAAGCCGGGGCGGCGGCGGAGGGGGATTCTCACAGGCCGTTGGACATTTGCATAGCGGGCTCGCCCGCCCGAAGACATTGGCCCGCATTGTTCCCGGTGGCGGCGGCGGCGGCGGCGGGCGCACGGGCCGGGGCGCGCGGGTCGGCGCGGTGGACCGGCTGGGAGCAGGCGGCAGGGCCAGACAAAGGAGACAGGGCGCAAAGTCGGGAGGCAGAGGGTGGGGGAGATCCCGATGGTGGGCGAGAAATATCGGGGTGAGGTGGAGGGGACATGGCTGCCGTTTCTGCCCCGGGACGGCCACCGCCCCCCACTTTGGACACCCACGCCGTGTCTAATTCCTCCCAGAGCTGGGGCCCGCCGTGCGCCGTGATGTGAATCCCAATAGGGGGGAATCTCAGGCCTTTCCCAGGCTGCGCAGGTTCGGAGCGCCGGGTCCTCCAGAGGTCAAGGGAGCAGCTCCTAGCTCCTGGCCGAGGGGGCTCTGGCCGCACTGGCACAGAAGCACACGGAGGCCCCTGGGGGAGGTTGGGCCTCTCGTCCAGATGTCTGCGCAGGAAACCCTGTTGTTGCCCACACATAGTTGTGCCAAGCCATATCAGTGGTCACTTCCCGAAATCCTTCCCTCAATGCCTCTGGCTCTGCAGACTTCCACATTAACACCAGGCAGCCTGTCTTCCCCATCACTAGGGACCTGGGAGGTAAGCAGGGGCCCAATGTCCTCGTCTATCATTGTCCCCAGAGCTCAGACATTGGGGCTAGACAGACAGAGTTCATGAGTGGGCAAGTGTCCGATTGTCCTGCATTGAGAGTAATAATAGTGGTGATCAGAGGGGCTGTCCCTGAGTGGCAGAGGCCTCATTGTCCTGAAGGGGTGAGGAAGGAGACCTTTTGGCCTCTGTCCCCACCATCTCCTTGACCTGCTCATTGTCACCCTGTTGACCTAGCCTGAATGGATGGGCCACTGTGTGGGGGACCAATGATGCTGAGCCAGGGGCTACAGGGGAGTTGGGGGAGGGACTCCAAGGATACCTGTCTTTCCTGCCCTCTGAGCCTCTGCCTGAAAGCAGTGACGGGATAATCACCCCCATACCCAAATGACAAATGATGGCTTAGTCCAATTAAATGGAACAATCTATACAGTGCCCACCAGTGTGCTCAGCACTAGAGACAAAGTTGGGGGAGGGAGAGGAGGAAATGCAGAGTGAGAAACCAAGAGTGTGGTTAGGAGAGTTCAACCCTGGACAGAGGGGCCCCTGAGCCACGGGGCCAGGGTGCTGGATCTTGTAGCAGAGCTCAGTAACATCTCCCAGGCCATGGGAGGCTTCACGGAGGTGACAGAGCTTGGAACTATCCGGCTACAGGATATGCAGGGCCATCTCTCATGGGGCAGCCCCCACCCTGTCCTTCCTTTCCCAGAGACCAAGAGGTGGGCCATCCTAAGAACCTGCAGCCTTTCCTCCCTTGGAAGCTGGCTGGGTGATTGCCCTCCCCCAGAGAGGGCTCAGTGGTCCCTTTTCCATGAAGCCTCCCTGGATTGAGATGGGGGCAGTGACCAGCCCATTTTTTCAAGCGTGGAGGGAGATTTGGTTGTGATCAAGAAAGAATCAGAAGTAGAGGGAGAAGATCAGGTTGAAAGATGGTGGCACAAACAAATGAATACTCCTAGCTTTCCCCACTCAGAATGAGCTAGGGCAGGGAGGGTCCCATCTTATCCTGAGTCTCCCCTTTCCTGAAAGTCTTTCAGATCTCTGTTTGAGGACTGCTTAGGGAGAGCAGGTCAGCCGCCTCTACCTGGACCAGTGAAGGGCTGGGTGCTAAGGCCCCACAGGGTGGAATGGAAGATGGGACCTCAGCTCTCCCAAACTTCCTCCCTCCCAGCAGAGACTGACAGGACAGGGAACCTTCTTGCAACGTCAGCAGTTATCCTTCTGCCTCAGCACCAGGATCTCCCCGGTAACATACCTGTCCCAGTCAGCAATGGGCAGGGGAGGCTGTGGAGGAAGGAGGGGAGCTGAAGGGGTGGCAGCACAGTTGGGTCATGTGGGCAGGGATGGTGCCCGTGGAGCACTTGTCCCTCGATCGCCCTCCTTGTCCCTCCCCTTCTCCTCAACTCTGTGCTTGGCCTCCTTCCCCAGCCAAACTCAGTCCCTCCAACTACAGATGGCATAGAGTCTGATGAGGACACCTTTTGCCTTTGTCCCAGGGCCAGGCCCCAGAAACCCCTCCATGTCCTCCTTGGGTTCCTAGGCCTGAATGGGTCTTGGTCCTGAGTGAGGGGTCTGTAGTCATGTTCAACTCCTGTCAGAAGCCTGGGGGAAGGGCAGGAGAGGGCGGAGATGGGTGTCCCAGTACTTCAGGGTTGGGAAAGGAGCTCCGGTCTTCTAGGGGGATGGATTCTCATTTGGATGAGATATCTGAAAGCCCTAGCACCTGCCTGACGTGTAGTGGCGGCAGGGAGCTCAAAAAAGTCTTGTGGCCTGAATGGTGAGGACCAGAGCTGAAGCAGACAGGAAGGCCCTTAGGCTGTAGGAAGGACTTCCAGCCTAGGCAGACGACGGAGGGGCATGAAGACCGCGTCTCCCTCTGCTGGGTCTGGAGCACCCTCTGGTGGTCAGATGACTTCAGGCCGACGGAGGCCCTGGATCTGCCTTCCCCCTTCTCTGCCCCCAACACCCATTGGCCCTTCCCGCTCCCCACTCCTCAGGCTCCGACAGGGACATGAGGTGGTGCCTGGGTACTGGCTGCTTCCAGCTTCTGAGGAGTTAATGGCAAAGAACTTTTTTTATGTCCCTCTTAGGCCCTGCAGGTGCCCTCTCTCTACTCTGCTCAGAGGCCGCCCAAGTTAAGGGTCAGAATGGCAGCCATTCTGGAATAGAAAGAACTCTCCAGGAGCCCAAGCTATCCTATAACAGACACAGACTTTCTTGGAGAGAGTGAGCTCCCTGTCTCTAGAGGTAGGCAAGCCCAGGCTGGGCACCCACCTAGTAGAACAGGGTATCCTAGAGGGAGGTCTATGGACACGGAGGCGTGATTTGTCACCACTAAGGTCCTTTGCCACCCTGAGGTTCTGAAATCATGAGTTAGAGGGTGAGAGAAACTTCCCAAATTCCCAGTGCACAAAAAAAGGAGTCAGAGTCCTTGGTGACAGTGGTGTTTATCACCCTCAGAGAGCCAGGCCCTGGCTCAGACTTCCCCGTAACTGTGTGATGCTGTACCAGTGGATCAGCAGTCACTTGGGCGCCTCACTTGCAGGCAGAGGGGTGGCGGGGTGGGGCTGCGTGAGGTTCTCCCCCTACAGGCTAGTTAGCCCACTGCTCTTCCATCTCCCCGCCGTCTACTGCCCCTCCCCCAATGCTGCCCATGGAAAGGAAGCTCCTTCCTCTCACAACTTCTTTTTTGCAGCAAGAGGGATGGGAGCTAGAAAAGAAGAACTTTCCAACGCTAGGCAGTCCTCATCTTCTAAAAGGAGAGCGTCCTCTCAAGGGCTGGAAGCAAGTTAGGCCTGAGTGTCTGGTTCTTCCACCCTCAAAGCCCCCTGGGCTTCATCCTCATGCTCCCCAGGCACCTACAGGGCAGGGGTGCAGGAGCAGGTGAAGGGGCAGCTCCAGGGGGCTGGAGATCACAGCTCAAGGGTGTACTCCAGAGGAGAACGAGCAGGTAAGGAAGGAAAGAGGCAGGGTGGAGGGTAGGAGGTGCTCACAGGAGGGAAGGGAGGGGCCGAGGGGAGAGGGCCCTGTGGGCCTGATGGGCTGCAGCTGCATCTCACCTTCCAGTAAATCTGGTCCTCGTAGCACTGAGAGTCTGGTGGGGAGCCCAGGAAGGACAGCCTCAGCAGGAACCCTGGTGGTGGTAGGGGAGGACACGTGTGACGTTTTTGCTGCCTCCATGGGGGAGGTTGCCACCCAGCGCCGCAGGGCTCAGAGGGGCTGGGAGGCGTGAGGTCAGTGTGATGCCTGGCACAGGCAGTTCACAGCTGCATTTGTCGAGCACCTACGATATGCCAGGCCCTGTGCAAAAAAGTGCCCTCCTGAGTAAGCACAGCAACCCTGCCAGGTGAATAGGATCCCTGTATTACAGAGAAGGAAGCAGGGTTCAGAGAAGTTAAGTAACTTACTCAAGTTTGCACAGTTGGTAATAGACCAAATCATGATTGTGTCGTGAACCACAGCTGCTGACCTTTCTGCGGCCTCCTATCCAGGAGGAGTGCAGAAAGTGTTTATTGAATAAATAAGTAATTGAGTGAATGAACTGAACCTTGTTTGAGAGTGAAAATCTTGAGGTGAGAGCAGAAGGGTGGGGATACTGAATCATAGGTTTTATTTTAAAAGTCAAAAGGATTAAAGCCAGACATCAGGAAGGACTGCCTGAACCAGCATCAGCGGGCAGTCTGCCTCTGTGCAAGGTGCTCCAGTCTAGCAGTGAGCCAGTGGCCCACCTCCCTCCCTGCCCCTCCCCTGCCCCAGAGAAGATTGCTCAGCCTGCCCCTTCAGGGCTTCAGCCTGAGGTTGGGCTGCCCTCTAGTGGGTAGAGGGAGCAGCACAGGGAAGCCACAGAACTGGCCAGCCAGGTCCCCGCCTTCCTTTGGCACCAGGAGGGAGCAAGTACTCACCTTCTCCTCCTCACCTGGAGGAGGTTACCCCTGAACTCTGTGACCCCCCTCCACAGCCCCCGGGCACAAAGTAAATATCTGTGAGTACACGAATGGCAGGGGGAAGGGATCCATGGCCCTTCCTCTGGAGAACCCCCCTCCTCTGTCTTCTGCCCTCCCTGGAGCTCCTGCCAGCCCCCTACCCCCAGCCAAGGTCACTCACCTCCAAGGCTCCCGCCCACAGAGGCAAACATCAGTGTGACAAACATCCCGAAGAACTGATACATGGCCTGAGACGTGGCACTGCGCTTGCCCTCTGCCATGAGCGGAAACACGCTCTCTAAGCTGCAAGGAGAGGAGGTTGTGGGGAGACAGGGATGGAGCAGGGAGCCAGGGCTGGTCAGCGCATCAGTGCATTGCATTGCATCATGTGGCGGCCAAAAGGGGCTCAAAGGAGCCCGCCAGGCTGAGTCTCACCTCTGGGCCTTTGCTCCAGTCAGGCCCACAGCCTTGGACACCCTCCCACCCTCGTGTGCCAGCAGACACCCACACACCTTTCAAGACTCAGCTCATGGGTCACTTTTGCCCACCTTCTCTGAGCCCTGATCTGTAAAAATCGATCCTAAGAGTCATCATCTCTTACTGACCCTTTAGTAACACCACCATTGAAATCATTTGTTCAACGACCTTCTGCTGCACTTAACTGAGGACAAGGAAGGCAGTCCCCAGGTAGGTCTTGTTAACTCCACTTTCTTCAGCTCCCAGAATACGGATGAATGAATCAATGAATGAAAATAAACACTGCTTTTTTTGTTGGTCCACAAAGGGAGGAAGAGAGTGAGGGACGTCATTCCAGGGGGATAGTAACTCCAGTGTAGATTCCGGGGGGGACTCACCCATCTCCATAAGCTTCATGGGTGGCCAGCCCAGCCACAAGGACCCCAAGGAGGGCTCCCAGGACCCCAGGCATTCCATGAAGGTTGTGGACTCCACATGTGTCTTGGACTTTGAATTTTGACTCAAGGACGGGCTGGAGGACAGGACACCAATAATGAGTCTCATGTGCTCCTCCCACCCCGGGCCCATTGGAGGGGTGGGAGGAAAGGTGCTGAAGACCCCCTGTTTTGCCAAGGGCCCGAGAGGCATCAGTACCGTGAAGAACTTGTACCCCAGCGTGGAGACAGTCCCAGCCAGGAACCCAGCTACCAGAGCCCCAAAGGGTGTCAGCATCATTTCAGCTGATGTCCCCACCACAACCCCTCCAGCCAGTGCTGCATTCTGGACGTGGACCTAAGGGAGCACAGAAGAACACGGGGTTGGAGGCCCTTTCAGATCGTCACACCCACACCCAACTCAACCCTGTCCACCACAGTGGCACCTACTGCTTCTGGAAGTCCCTCCGCCATCTAACCTCTACCTCTCTTGCTATTGTATCATCTCCTCATACTCTGACCCCACTGCCTCCAGTGCAGACGGAGCCCCCTGTGCCTGCACCCTTACCTGTTCCCCTGGGGAATAGGCCTTGCAGGGTCTCAGACCTCTCCTCCCCCTCCCATCCATCCCTCTGCCTCTCCCAAGGCCTCCTCCCCGTACCATGTCCAGCCGCCCATCCCCCCCGACAAGGGCTGACAAAGCGAAGGTGCTGAGGGTGCTGGCGGTCAGGGAGTAGTATGTGTTCAGGGCTGTCCGATGCTGCCCGTCCCCCAGCATAGTGGGTGCAGAGTTGAAACTAGGCCAGAAGATCCACAGGAAGATGGTCCCTAAAGGGTGGGCAGGCAGGTGGAGTGAAAAGAAGTAAGTGACTCCCCCACAAGGCACAAGCGCTATAACTGCAGGCAAGTCACCGACTCTCAGCAGCCTCAGTTTCCTCATCTGTAAAGTGGGGATAATAATACCTACCTCATAAAGTGAGGGCTAAATGAGGTGATGCATATGAAGTGCACAGCCCATGGCCTAGAGGTACTAAATGCTCAACGATGGGAGTTCTGGAAGGGTACTGGCACAAAAGGCAGCTACATGGTTGAAACCACAGAGGATTGAGATTTTTAAGTATCAGAAAAGGAAAGAAAAAAAGACAAAGGCAGCGCATGTCAGGCACGAAGTTGGGTACTTGATGGGTATCAGGAAAATAACTTGTTTCATAACCTCAACTGCCTCGTAGAGAGGGTGGACCCTGCAACGTGCAGGAGAGGCCTCTGTCTGCTGAGCCCCAGGAGGGCTGGGCCCGCGCATTTTGGGGTAAGAACTGGGAGCTCCATCTGCCCTGCCTGCCCCTGTGTTCCCAGGGCAGTCCTGAGGGAGAGGGAGGGTGAGCCAAGGGACAAGGTGAGGGGCAGGCTGGGGACCCTGCATGGCAAGGAGGCTTGAGGGACTGCCCCTGAGTGGTCCTTGGGTGTGCCATGTAACTTCTCCCTGGCAGTCTGCAGGAAAATCTACCGCGCTCACACATGCATCCTTTGGGGAGGAGTGAAGAAGAGCCAGGTTTCCTGTCTGGAAGGAGCTGGAGGCAGAGGAGATGAGAGAATGAAAGCCTCCTGGGAAAGCACGGGCATCTTGGGGAAGCTTTTGGACTTCAAGCCAAATTTATCTGGGTCTCAAAGGGCAAGGAGACCTCAGCCAACAAGGTTCCATGTGATCTATTTCCCAACAAACCCAGAGGTGAGCAAGAAATACAAAACCGGCCTCTTTTTAATGTAAGAATAGGCACTATTCAGTACTTTCTAGGAAAAAATAAAATATCAGTTTCCTTTCCTGACTCGTTTGTGAAGGTGGAGAGAGGAGCAGAGGCTAAGGTGGACGTAGGTGCTTAGAAGAAACAGGGGGTGGTGACAGTGCTCCCAGGTCAGAGCCTACTGCTCCCAGGGGTGACCCCTGACCTCTCCTTTCCCTGCAGATAGCGCAGGGGCTTTTGGGAAATCGCGTGGGAGGATGGACCTTAAGAGGTGGGAGGCAGCAGCAGGGGCAAAGGCCTGGAGGTAAGAAATGGGGAGAAGCCGGGTCTGGCTAGAGCGAGTGAGTGTGAGGGAAGAGCCAGTGGGGAGGGAGGAGCAGAGAGAAGGGCAGCCAGGACACGCAGGGGCGAAAGACCAGACTGAGGAGCCTGGTTTCCATCTTGTGGGTGACAGGGCCCCTGGAGGGTTTTAATCAGGGATTGGTGCTTGATTTAGACAGGCTCCCGGGAATGGGTCTGGGGGCACGTGCATACCCCAGGGCTGAGTTCTAAGAACCTGTCACTGAATTATGGAGAATAGGAGCACAGATCCCAGGGCTCTCAAAGGAGAATCCAAATGGGAAGGGAGTTCCCAGCCAGAACCCCAGGACTCCAGGCAGCATGAGACCTTGCCTGCAGATGGTCCTCTCTGGCCCAGATCACGGGCATCTGGAACTGACCCCCCACCGCATCCCACCCCACCCCACCCTCAGCAGGCCTCACCAATCATGGCAAAGAGGTCTGAATGGTAGACGGAGCCCTGGCGATGCTTGCTCTTCTCCAGCTGGGGCCTATAGAGGACCCGTGAGACGGCCAGCCCGAAGTAGGCACCAAACATGTGGATAGTCATGGAGCCTCCTGCATCCTTCACCTGGGAGGTGGAGCTGAGGTGGAGGGGCAGCCCCCTGCCCCGCTCCCACTCCATGCTCTCCCCGTTCAGGGCCTGGCCCTGGCCACCCCGACCCCACCCCATCCCCATCCAGACTCACCCCCAAGAGACTTAGGAGCACAAACTCATTGATGCCAAACAGCACCACCTCCAGCAGGGCCATGAGCAGCAGCTGAGCCGGCCCAGTCTTGCCCAGTATGGCCCCAAAGGAGATAAGTACAGCCCCAGCGCAGAAGTCAGCGTTGATCATGCTGGGGGAGTTGGGATGGGAGGGTGAGATGGGGCCAGAAACACCAGCAGCCCTTGGGGAGGGGGCAGGGGAAGAGGCAATGAGCCTACATGTCTAAGCTCTTCCCTGTGCGAAGCCAAGTCTCAGGGAGGTTCTGTGACTTGGGGAACAAAGCCCACAACAGGCAGGAAACCCAGATCTTGGGATTTCCTCTGAAAGGGCTCCTCTGAACCCTGCCCTTTCCCTTGAAGCTATCTATTCTCCCAACAGCTCTTGGGCAATAAGGGGCCTAAAGAGATGGGGAGGTGCAGCTGAGTGTGTGGGTCGAGGATGGGAGAAGAAATCGGGCAGTGACAACAGGGAGGGCACCCAAGAGGAAATCAATCGATGGGTCAAAAACCTGGGTCAGGGAGCAGACTGGCTGGACTTGAGGGCTTAAGCTGGGCCCCTCGGGCAGGGGCCTCCCAGGTAGTACAGGGGGGAGCTGGGGAGGCTGCTGTTGCCCACCTCTCCACACCAACGTGGATGCAGCCGCTGTGGAAGGAGTGGAAGAAGCCCTGGACGAGCGTGGACCACTGCAGAGCAAAGGAGGCCAGGAGGAAGGTGAAGCCCAGGCTGCTGAAGCCGTAACGCTGCAGGAAGGCCATGAGGAAGCCGAAGCCCACGAAGACCATGGCGTGCACATCCTGGAAGCCTGCAGGGGGAATGCGGGGGCTGCTGTGGCTACTGCCCACCAACCAATCAGCCTCCAGTGCCCCCAGCTCTCACCAGCCAGGGCCGCCTTGAGGCTGGAGTCGAGCCTATAAATCTCCCAGGCACAGCAGGGCCTCCCAAACCCGGGCCACCTGTGAAGAGCTGGCCCACTTGGGGCAGTGGGACCCAGACCATCCCTGGGGCCTCCATGTCAGAGCAAGGGAGAAGAGCCTTCTTCTGCCCTCTTTTCTGCCCCACTCATGTGCCCTATCCCTGGGTCTCTTACAACTGACTGGCGAAAAGTCCAACCTGGGCTCCTTCCGGCTGCAGTCCCTGCCCCTCCGTGCTCAAAATTCTCTTCCCTTTCAGGCTTCTCTTCAATTTTCCCTTTCCGCTGGAAAGTCCTTCTTCATGTCTAACCTCCATCCCTCAGAATCTATACCTCTCCATTTTGAGGATTTTCTATTTTTAAAAAATAATTTACAAAACAGCTTTAAATTGTTAACAGAGATTACCTTAGGGAAAAAGAATTGAAGGGGGGCAGGGCCGCTGCGCCCCACCAACGCCAACGCAGAGGAGGCCCCTGGACTCACGCAATATGGCGATTCCGGGAAGGAGGATTTGACTCTTGAGTTTGTTTCTTTCTATAGTTTGAATATTTTAATTTTGCAGATGAATTACTTGAATTCTTAAAGTGTCAATGGGGTTTCTAGGCAGGGAGATTTGGGGCCTTTTCTGTTTGCTTTCTATTCTGTACCATTGTGCATAAAAAGCCAAGCTAATAAAAATAATATACAGGAATCTTGAAAATGAGATAGATACAAATAATTTGCTTTAGTATTAATTTGTTCTGTGCCCCTCCCCGCCCCACTTGTAAACAGTTTGAAACACCCCCTGCTCTGGTGCTTGGCCAGTGCAGCTGGTCCTGCTTTCTCTGTCTTGGGTCCAGGTATATCCTGATGCCAGGCGATGTCTTCGCCTTTAATTGAGAATCACTAGAGAAAGCGTATCACGAGTGCTGTTACCACATCTGGTGTAAATAAGTTATTGAGAAACAGGGCCAACCATGACCCCAAGCTCCCTTTTCATAGCTGCACATGAGAAATTTCTCTTGGAACTTAGTGCTAGGAAATGTTACTTCCCCTGAGGAACCGATCTGCTTTCCCACATTCACGTGACAGATATTGACCAGCAGTCATGCATCAGCCTCTGGGGATGCAGCTGTCATCAGGGCAGCCACAGTCCCTGCCCTCATGGAGCATGGAAGATGGACATCAAGAATAAGAGAAGGGGCCGGCCCGGTGGCACAGCAGTTAAGTGCGCATGTTCTGCTTTGGCAGCCCGGGTTTCACTGGTTCGGATCCCGGGTGTGGACATGGCACCGCTTGGCAAAAGCCATGCTGTGGTAGGCACCCCACGTACAAAGTAGAGGAGGATGGGCACGGATGTTAGCTCAGGGCCAGTCTTTCTCAGCAAAAAGAGGAAGATTGGCAGCAGATGTTAGCTCAGGGCTAATCTTCCTCAAAAAAAAAAAAAAAAGAATCAGAGAATAGGGGAAGAAGATTAAGAAGTACAACTTCCAATTATGAAATAAATGGGTCATGGGGATGCAGTGTACAGCATGGGGAATATAGTCAATAATATTGTAATAACTCGGTGTGATGACGGATGGTGGCTGGACTTATCGTGGTGATCATTTTGTAATGTATAAAAATACTATGTCACTATGTTGTACATCTAAAACTAATATGGTATTGTCTGTCAATTATAATTCAATTTAAAAAACCAAAAGATTCAAAGAATTGCGTATGCAAATATGCAATTGGTTCTGATGAGAACACATAATTGATCATATTTCCCTTTTCTCTTGGCTGCCTGGAAGCTCGAAGCTACACAGCAACCTCAACTGTAACAAATATAGGCGCTCACAGTGTCCATTATTTGTGTTCTGCTTCCCTGCTTTTCTTTTCTTATACACATTTTTTTTTACTGTAAATGACCTGAAATCTCTCGTAGAAAGAGGCAGATCATAAAGAAAAAAAAATCATGGTCACCTTTTTTGTTTAACCTGAAGAAGCATCAACAAGCCAAAAATTTATTGTTCAAATTTAGAATGCAACCGATAACTCCGAGAGAAGCAAACTGTAATGCTTTTTTGTTCTGTATATGGGCTGATAGGAAATGAGTCTGCAAGCCCCTGGCAGAGGGTTGGGCGTGTGCTGGAACTGGAGGTCTGCGGCTCAGCTGCCAGCCCCAGCAGCCAAGAGTGAGGCCAGTGGGCCTCACTAACTATCCCCAACACTGTGCCACTTCTCCAGCCCTACCCACTCCCCAGTCACCCAGATCTCTCTTTAAACCCAAAAGAAAAGGAGAAGCATCTCTTAGAACTCAGCCCGCAGCCTAAGTTCTTTTAGGCCTCACTGCCTGGTTTCTTTTCTCCTTGTGCAAACAGTAAAGGGGATGCCATGTCTGTTGTTTCGCCCAAGGACAGAGAGATAACCAAGGGCACTGCATCGCAGGGCTCTGTGCCCATGACATGCCAAAACCGCTCCAGAACTTGTCTTAAATGGCAATAATGTCTACATTTCCCACCTCGGGTTTATTTGGAATCAAAATTCAATCCCTTGGCCTTTCAAGTAGAACGTAAACATCAAGAAATTGCCGTCGCTGAGGAACATTCCACGCAGACACTCTCCATGGGCTGAGGTGGGCGTCCTGTTCCACCCCCACCTACCCCAGGCACCCTTGGTTGGAGAGAAGATAAAAGCCCTCCAGAGCCACCTACTGCCCTCCCTCCTTCCCTTCCCGCCCCACCCCAACCCCACTAGATGGCTCCCCAACAAGACAAGACTGCGGGACAAGGGAACAGTTAACGCTGGGGCTTTAGCAGCTGACAGCTGGATTTAAATCCCAGCCCCCCCGCTTTCGGACTGTGTAACCTTGGATGAATTACTTAACCTCTCTGAGCCTCAGTTTCCTCATCTGTAAAGTGGGGATATAAAATATGAGGAGCAGAGAAAAGGAAGTGGTGAGCTGGGGACATCATGTCCCCCCACCACACTCTATTCCCACCCACCTTGAAGAAGGCAGAGGGGCCGACTTCTCCTAGCAGAGGCCACGAACCACCCTGATCCCAGTCACACCCCCTCCATCACCTCTTACAAGAAGATCCTGAGTCCATCTATCTTAAATCTCTCTCCCTGTAAGTAAGGTCTTGGAGGCGTATAGAAAAGGACCCGTCCAGATCTTTTTCTTAGAAGCCTTTCTCATGTTCACGTCTGTGGCCCCTATAACCCTAGTCTTTCTCCCTCTTTCTCATTTTCCATTACTTTCCTCGTGGGATAAGAGGCTTGTGATGTGGGGGAAAGGCCACAGATGAGTCAAGAGACCTGGTTCTCGCCTGGCTAACTTGCTGTGTGATCTTGGGCAGTCACACGACCTCTCTAGCTCTCTCTCCACATCTGAGAAGAGTGGACCAGATGGGCTCCGAGGGCCCTTCCCACAGAGATAAAAGACAGACCCTCAGAGCAGCCAGGCCCTTGGCATTGGCCAGTCCCACAGCTCAACAACAGCTGCAGAACTCCCTTTCATCTCCCAAATCCAAGGGCAGTGGCTACACCCTCCTCTGGCCCTGACCCCTGCCCCTGGACACAGGGACAGGTGAAAACCTGGCTCATCAAAGCCCCAGGCTCCAGGGCCGTCACACCTCCCTCCTCCCCAACCTACCCCCACACCAGGGTCCCAAGTCCACAGGGATAGAAACCGAGGGCAGAAAAAGGGGTAGGATTCCCACCGCGATTGCGCTGACTGTGGTCCAGGGACGAGAGCTGCGCGTCCACTGCAGCAGAGGGGCGAGGGGTTGCGAGGTTTCAGGGAGGACTTTGAAACACCCAGGGCTCGGAAGCCTTGAGTAAGGCCCAAATTGGGGCTCGTGGCAGGCAGCCAGGTCAGACCCTTGGGCAAGAGCTTACTTCTCTCAGCCTGTGGACTGTTTCCTCCCAACTCCCTATCTCTCTGGACAAATGCATGACCCCAAGAGTCTGCCCTCCCAGCTCTGTGGCTCTGGCTTTGATCCCAGCTTCCAGGGCTCACCTCGTCCAGCCAGGGCTGGGGTGAAATTTGGGGAGGGAGGAGCTGAAGCCCCCTCTGCCCAGGATGGCTGGGGATCTGGTGCTTCACGCCCAGGTCCAAGCCTGCACCTCACCCTCTATATCCTCAGCATTGTGAGCTTCATTTTGTTGGGGTTGGGGCTGGGAAAGGCTCAGGTGGGGACAACCTGCCGCCAGCTCTGTACACAAAAAGCAGGGTAATAACAGCCTGGGATTTTTTATGGGAGATTCTCACACTCTGGACCTTGTTTGAATGTATACCCTTCAGACTGAGGCATCCTTCTCCCCATTGCCCAGATGGGGAAAACTGAGGCTTAGGAAAGACCTGCCCAAGCATTTGCGATGAAGTCTGGGAGATCTGGTGTCCTTGGTCCCAGGGGCCCAGGCGGGGGCCCCCAATCTTGAGGGAGAGCCTGTGTCCCCAGCAGAGGGCAGGGGTTAACCCTCCCCTTCCTAGGCCTTGTCAGCAGGCAAATGAACTGTGGTGCAAGGAGCTTAGGATGCCTGAGTCCTAGTTCCAGCTCGGTAACTCACATGATGGGCGATCACAGGCAAGTCACAACCCCTTTGAGCCTCAGCTTCCTCCCCTGTGAAATGGGTGATGACCTGCCATGCCTCCTTCTCAGGGCTGGGGCTGCTGCTCTGTGGTTGGCTGGTAGGTAGCTGCATCATTTTCTCTCTGATTCTGGAAGGGCCAGCTTTAGGGGACTGGGGAAGAAATGTCTGAGCCCCACAGTCTTGGCTGCCTTCATAGCTAATACCCACCATTACCACCTCCTGCACTCCCCTTACGACCTGCCTTGCCCAGAAGGATTCGCTTTCCGGTGGTCAGGGCAGAGGCCCTAGGAAAGGTAGTCTCTGGAACAGCCCAGCAAAGCCCAATTAGGCCAACTGTGGGGTGGGACAGGGGAGCAGTTAAAGTTGGGGCTTCAGATCCGGGTTCTAATTCCAGCTCTCTCCATTCTCACAACGTGACCCTGAACTTAATCTTTCTGAGCCTCAGTTTCCCCATCTTTGTCTACTTCATAGACTAAATGAGATAATGCATGTGCCGCCCTCAGCATAGTACCCAGAACATGGCAGACACCAGAGAAAGGGTGTGATATAAATCTGGGGCACCTTCTTCTCAGAGCGAGAGCGTTGCCCACCTAGTGGTAGATCTGGGCACCCAAGTGTTCCCTCCCAAGACAACGGGGAGCTTGGGGTCTTTGCTCCTCGCACGCCCTCACCCGCACTCACTTGGGTAGCGAAAGTAAAATTCATTGTCCGCATTACTGTGGTTGCCCCAGTGCCAGAGGGCCGCGTCGGTTTCCTGGTCGTAGCGGACAAAGACCGCAAAGAGGATGGTGGTGGCGCCCTGGAGGAAGAGACACAGTAGGGGCAGCTGCAGTCGCCGGCCCGCGGCGCAGCGGGGGGACCTGGCCATGGGACAGAGGCTGCGTGCGAGGCTCCTGCTCCGGCTCGGGCTCTGGGCGCGAGGCGCTGGGCAGACGCTCCCGGAGCCGGCCGGGCAGGTTTCACAGGGGCCAGGCCCCGCCCACCTGAGCCAGGCCCCGCCCACCTGGGCCCACCCACGCGGAGCTTACCCTCAGCTCCAGGCCCCAGCCCCGGGAGGTGGGACTGAGCGGAAAAGGGGTGGAGGGGTGGAGGGGTGGAGGGGTGTGGGGGGGCCAGGGCCTGGGCCCGAGGCCTGAGATGGGGTAAGGACTGGGAAGGGAGGGGGCCTTCGGACCCCCCGGCCCCCCTACTCCTCCCCACCCCCTCCCAGTTCCCCAAGTCCTGTCTCCCACAGCCACTGAGCCGGCGCTGTTGCTGTTGGCACAGGTCCTTGGAAATGACTCTGGAAAGGCACCTTGTGTCCTGCGATGCTGGGGCTCAGCTCCGGGACCCATTGTGGGGGAGTTGGGGGGAGACCCGCTTCCTCAAACATAGCGTTAGTTTAGGGAGTGTTTCCAGGGAATAAGAGGCCCTTAAAAACCGGCCTGGCCCCTCCAGGGTTAACACAAGAGAGAGGTGTTTTCCCAATCTTTTGGATTGGGTTCCAATTTTTTGTGTTCTCAATCTTTTTCCGAAAAAGCCAGATGGAGGACGGAGATGAAGAGATGGCTCACCAGGCCGGCTCTCCACGCTTTGTTGTTTAACCTGCCTGCGGGAATCAAAGCCTCAGCAGAAGGGTCCTCATCCCACTCAGAGCCTCCTCCGCAGGCTCCCCACCCCGAGTCTGCACCCCACCACAGTGCAGCAGGCTAGGCAGGGGCTGCACTGACACCTGGGTTCCCTGCACTGCCCAGTGTGGCTGTGAGAGGGCTGGGCTGCCTCCGCAGCTGAAAGAAGGGAAGCTAGATGGAAGGAGGGTCTTCTCAGTTAGGAGTCAAGAGTCCCTTCTTACACAAGCAAGATTTGCACCCACTGGGGTCCTGGTAGGCAGAAGGCCAGGAGATAGACGGTTCCTGAGCACTTACTGTGAGCCAGGCTTTGGAGATGAACCAGATAACCCCTCCCTCCAGGAGCCACTGTTTCCAGTTGGGAGACAGACACTTAGGAGGGAATTTAGCTACCATCGGGGTAAATGTGTGATCCCAGGAAGTACAGAGCCTGTGGGGACCCAGGAGGAGAGACTGCAGAACCCACAGGAGTGGGGGTGAAGGAGTGGACAGAGATGGAAAATTGCTTCCTGGGAGGTAATGTCTGCAGGCAGTCTAGAAGGACAACCTAGAAACTGGGCAAGCAAAGAAAGAAGAGGGGGCATTTCAGGAAAGGGACAAGCATAGATAGAAGCCTGGCCGTGTGAGTGTCCAGTGTGTCCAGGAACTAAGGCTGGGGGTTGAGAATCTAGAAAGGCTTTGAAGGCCCTGTCGAGGCACATGGCTTCTCCCCACTGAGAGCTGGGCCACTGGAGGCTCTAAATCGGTTGAGGACCTGGCACTACGGGTTCTGACCCCTGCAGGCCACCAGGGGCTTCAAAGAAGGAAAGCTGAAGGCCAGTCTCATGGGGTGGGTGGGAGGGGAGGCCTTCTGTCTACACTGCTGCCCAGCCTAGCCCCACCTGTCTGAGGGGGCTGTTGAGTGGGAGGGGCTTGTGGGTGTTGGCAAAGATGTCCCAATCGCCTGCCTGAAGGAAGAGCTGCCATTCCCAGGGGATGTGGCCCAGGCTCAGAGAGGCCAGCCACTTTCCAAAGCAGGTGCAGGACGGGGCTCCTCCTAGGAACAGAGCTTGCCTCTTCTCAGGAATGGACAGGGACAGGGGTGACAGTGGAGTCCCTGACCCTCCTCCTTGCTTCTCCTTCTGCCCATTCCCCAGTTCACCTCCTCCTCACCTCCCCTCATGGGCTTGAGCTTACAGTATGCACTCTGGGGGACAGTTGGATTCTAGGTGTCTAGCTTCCTGACCTACGTGCCCAACCAGGCAGGCCGGGCGGGGTGGGTGTCAGCCTCTGGGTAGCTGCCTGTGGTAGCTCTGCTCCTAGAAGGCCAAACAGACTTTCTGGCCCTCAGTGGCCCCTGGCTCCTGGCCCACAGGCTCTCTGTCACTACTTGGTCAACAGGAAGGCTGTTTTCTAGCTCCTTCTAGGGGTGGGGGAGATGGCTGGTCAGCAGCCTTTGGATAACGATTCTTGGATAATTCACCCCCAGGTCCAGTCCTATGCCCCAGAGACACAGCCTGCCTCCTGAGCTGGAAACTGGAGATGGAAGGTCAGAGATTGAGTAGACCCCAGGCCAGGCAGGGTGGGAGCTGGTTACAGAGTCAGGGGCTCCTCCGAAGAGGTCTGGGGTGGATGGAGGAATGTGAGATGGAGCCCCTCATTCCATCAGAGCTTCCAGGGTCAGAGAAGGCAGCGGAGCATGCAAACTTAACCACTTGGCCACGGGGCTGGCCCCCATTCATTCATCTTTACTGGATGACTTCAGGCAAGTTATTGAGCCCTTTCTGAGTCTCAGTTTCCATATCTATAGGAGTAATAACATTCCCTTTGTGGAATTGTTATGAGGATTCCAAATAATTGATGTAGAGTGCTGGCATTTTCATACGCATTCAACAGATATGGTGATTATTATTATTCTGATTGGCTGATCAGAGAAGGCAAATGACTCTGACTCCAACACACGTGGCGTCTTTGAGGACAGGAAAGGGTGGAGGGACAGACAACACAGTCTTGATCTCCTGTCATCGGCTGGAGACAGTGAACAGCAGGGACCCAGGGCCAAGGCCATCAGACCAGCAGCCCCAGTGACATAACAACTCTTGAAGAGAGGAGATTTTGGGAAAGGCAGAGCCTTCCTTCATTCAACAAACATATATTGAGCACCTGCTGTGCTAGATGCTGGAAATCCAATGGAATAAGATACAGCCTCTGCCAAGGATGGGGGGGCTCCCTCTGGGAGGGATATGAATGAATAGGCAGGTGATCACACTGCAGAGGGCTATAATGGGGGAGACAGGTCCTGTGGGGACCCAGCCTGTGGTGGGGGTGATCAGGGAAGGCTTCCCGGAGGAAATGACGCTTACCTTGAGATCTGGCCTAATTTCACAACTGGGGTGGAGACGGGGGATTTCTTTTTGTCTAACACTCTGGCATGAAAATAGAAAAGAGGCTCTACAGTACTAGAGAGCTGCTCAATGCCCATTTTCTGGGGGTGGACAAAACCCAGACCTCAGTTTCTCCTGAAAACCACAGCCACTGCAACACTGTGCAAAATATGGTTGTATTTACATACATGGCATGGTAAAAATTAAATACGGCCTTTTCTTTCCAGAGCTTTGCCAGATTCACATCCGTGTAAAACACTGTCAGAATCAGATGACATTTTTTTGTTAAGCTTTCTTCATCTGTAAGATAAAAAATGACAGTACCTAAAAAAAAGTTGGTCAAAAGGCAATGATCTCCAACCAAAAATTTTTCTCATTCACTTAACACATTTTGTTCGCATTCCTGCTATGTGCCAGGTACTGTGCTAGGTTCTGGGGGAATATCCCCACACTACGTCTTTACCCAACAGAACGGTGCACACTGCTCTCAGGATGCCAAGATGGACAAGATGCAGGCTCAGTTCCTAAGGCTGACAACAGCCCTGTGGCAGTGGTACAATTCGGTGATACCATTCTTGCGTGTCCTGTTGGGGGTCTGCAGTCAATTCCTTACCAGTAAAAGTTCTGAATGACAGCAAAGAGCAGAAGGTAAGAGCATGGCTTCAGAATGAGAAGGACATAAGTGAGAGTCCCAGCTCCTCCAAAAGAGGTTTTGGATAAATTGCTTCCCATGCTTTGAACCTCAGTTTCCTCATCTGTTGCATGGAGATAATAGTACTTACTCCACAGGGGTCCTTGTGAGGATTAATGTCCACAAAGCCCATGACATGTGGTACGTCTTCAGTAGCATGAGTCATGGTTATTACTGTTGTTAATAAGGAAACAGGTAAATAAATGGTATGGCCATTTCTTTTTTTCCCTTCGATTCCTCCTGCTATTGGCCTTAGGAGAACTTTGTTAACTGCTGGGGACATAAGAAAACTGACCTCAGTCCTTAGTTTTGAAAATAAAAAGAAGTGTGGTCAGTTAACTTCCAAGTGCCTGACTGGGACCCCTTAAGAGAAAAGCCGGGAGGGAACCCAGGGGGTGGTGGGCCTGCTTCTAGGAATGAGTCACATAGATGTGACTGCAGTTAAAGGGTGTGGGGTAGGGGGGAGTGTGAGAAGCTGCATCCTCACCTCCCACCCCAGCTTCTTTTCTCAGTTCTCCCAAGGGTTCCACCACCACACTGAACCAACCACAAAACCACACTCCACCCTGGACAAGCCAGGAAAGCTGGCTCACGTCCTACCGCTCCCCTCTGCCAGGAGCTATTGTCCAGGCATCCTGGGATTGGATCCTCGCTCCCTTTCCTAGGCCTGCCCCTTCGTCCCCTCCCTGCCTTCCCCAATCGTGAGTGACACTTTTTGATGAATGCCTCTCTCCTCTGGAAAGGGAGCAACTGAATAGCAATGCTGTTTGCTGTTTGACGTGGGACAGAACCATCGTAAAGGCAGGAGGCACACTTTCTCTGCCCTGGGCCTAGTGAGAGACCTGGCACAGCAGGGCGGGAGCAGCCAGGATAAAGGCAGTGAGATGGGTCCCTAAGGTTTGACAAGAGCTGCTGGCTCTGAGTGATCAGACTGGGCTGTGAACACAGGAGAATTTAGCCCCCTCTAGTGACATTTAGGCACGTGGGCTGCCTGCTCTGCATCTCCATCCTGCAGCCCTGCTAGCAATCCAAGCTCTCCAGACAAAGGGGAGAATGTGAGAGCTGAGGCTTTCAATGCTGTTAAGCAGAGTCAGAACCATTCAGCTGCTCGGTTCATAGCTATTAATTGAACCATACATTGCAAGGTCAAGCAGGCCCTGCTTTCAACCCTGAGGAACAACAGTGGACAAACAGACATTGTCCTTGCCCTCATGGGGCTGCTATCCTAGTGGAGGAGACACACAATAAACGCAGATGTATAAAACGTCATAAGAGGTTTGAAGAAAACAAACCTGAGTGAGAGGATGGAGTGA